CCGCCTCGGGACCCCCGGCCACCCCGGCCCCGTCCGCGGCCCCGGCCCCGCGACCCTCGGCCCCCGTCCCTGCCGCTGAGCCCGCTGACCCGGCCTCGGGCAGCAGCAACAAGCGGAAGCGCGACAACAAGGCCAGCACCTACGGACTCAACTACAGCCTGCTGCAGCCCAGTGGAGCGCGGGCCGCTGGGGGTGGCCGGGCAGACGGTGGCGGGGGCGTGTACAGCGGGACCCCGTGGAAGCGGAGGAACTACAACCAGGGAGTCGTGGGGTGAGTGCGTGCCGGGGCTGCGGCCTGGGGTTGGGTGATCCCCCGCCTGGCTGCTGCTTGGAGGAGGATCGATCATTGATCATTGCCACTCCCCAGTCCTCATCCACCTGCACTTTTGCCCGTCCTCCTCAGCCATGCAAACCCGCCCTTCACCTACCTTAGTCATTCACACCTTCCCCTGCTTCTTAACCATCCACACCTTCGCCAGACCCCCTTTATCCATCCACTCATTCTTCCCATCCCCCTTACCCCACCCTCCCCCGACGCCCTCTACATCGTCATTCCTACCATCGCCCCGCCGTGAGATTCTTTAGCACAGACATATCATTCATTACCCGAGAAAGGTAACATTATTGCGTTAATGCCTTTTGACGGTTCAGGACCTGGAGGTGCTTTCCTTGCCAAGAATAGAAACATCCAGAATGCCCCTCCCCCTTCCTCAATCCCAGACAGGAATCATAGCAGCCCTGAAAGGCATTGGGTGCTTTTGACCTTTTGGCTAGTCTTTTAATTTTTATGTTGAAAATTTTTGTGTATTAGCCATGGCCTGCCTGCAGGAAGGGAGAACTGGGTGGCAGCTAAGTTTAGGCTGGTGGAGGCTGTGAGCTCTTCTTCTGAGGCCCCGATAGAACTTTCCAGGAGTTCATGGTCCGAGCCCTGGCCTCTCACTGTAAAGTCATGCTGGCAGAGGCAGCCACTACTTTTCATTCTCGGGGTAACTTTATGCTAATGAGTGAATGTTGCAGCACTAGTGACTTTCTGTTTAAAGTTCAGGTCTTACAAAATGGAATCTTACCTGACCCCTAGTAAATTATGTACACAAGCCAGGAATGTGCCCAGCTAGATTTCCCTTCTGGAAGAGCCTCTGTTGCTGGAATAGATTACTGAGACATTTTTCTTTTGTAAAATAAATCTTTTTGGACCGTGTGTGTGTGTGTGTGTGTGTGTGTGTGTGTGTCTGTGTCTGTGTCAGCGTGTGTGTGTGTCTGTGTCAGCGTGTGTCTGTGTCTGTGTAGCTAGAGTATGGAAAACTGGCTTTCAAATTGCTTTTCAGTTTTTTTTAGGGCCTGCTTTACATTGAGGGTTGGAGTGCACAAATGAATCCACCAGTTAGTAATCTTGTGTGAACCTCTTCTTAGTTTTACCCATTCAAATCTGCCCTTTTTGGCAAGGAGACAGTTCTGTGTACCTTTTTGAAGGTATGGGTAAAATGAGTTGGTGGGTTCCATCTGCTTCTAGTGGGCTGGTGTCTGCTCTGTGCTACTATTACAACTCCCACCTTTTATGGAAAATGGAGTCATGTGTCTTAGAATTAGGCTGAGGTATATGTCAGAGCTGCCTTCCCTTTCCAGAGGGGAGCCCTTCAGGGTTGAGTCCTCTGTTGCTAAGCTTCAAGGGCGCTCTCCATGGTCATCACGTTTTATTAAAGGTTTGTGGTTCCATCCTGTTAACATTTCCAAGTCGAAGGATAAACCTGTGGTTTAGGGAGAAACAAATTAATACTGAAGGGTTCTGGTAGTTTCGTTTCACAGGAATAAGCTGCAGTTAAGTAATCACTGTCAGCTAAAGTCTTGAAGTTCCCTAATTGCATTTCACTGAAGCTTCTTTGCATATGTTTCTAGAAAAGATACATTATAAATCCAAAATGTTGGCCTCTTTTTGGTAGAAATTGTTCCCTCTTCAACTTGCTGTTTAATATAGAGGATACTGTAAATGGTTCACATGTGAACTTATATAGAAGCAAACTGTCCTTGTTTCTGTTTCAAATAATATATTGCCCTCAAAGGGATTAGGAGAGGAATTTTCATTTCCCAGAGGGATTACTGTTTAAAAACTGATTGTAAACCTGTTTTCAAACAGCTTATCACTTCATCAGACTTTCCATAGTTTTTTTAACCTGTTCCTTTTGAGCCTTTGTGGTTTATTTCTTCACTTTTAAGGAAGTTTTAGTATCTGTTATTAGAAAAATTTGATTTCAGAGTATATGTCAATATTATACTCTTCTGAGATTAAATATAGTAAAACTGTTACCAGCATTTCCTTTATGAAGGATACTTTGCTAGTAGTTGAGAAATTGTTATGATTACTGGCCTCTGAATTGGCTATGCATACAGGAAGATGAAACAAAAAATATATATATATACGTATATATATATGAAAAGTGGATTAGAATTCTGGAATAGCTGTGTATACTTTCTTGCAGCTCTTTTATGTCTTGGTCTTACCAGCTAAACTAGTTGACTTGTTTCCTGAGCACTCCTTTAAGAAACAGTTCAAATCCTAACTTTTTCCATTATTCAGGTTCTTAATTTTTTTTATCCTCTTCTGAACTCCTACAGTGTTCGTTTTATGCTCTTAGTAGAGCAAATTAATATTAGCTCTTCTTTTGTACATGTGTTCTGCTATCCACTGGAGGGTGGAAAGTTCTTTAATGTGAAGTAAGATGTTTAGAATTTGTTCTAAGGTCTTCATAGTCTTCTTTCAAAATGAACTTCCCCCAGGATTACCAGCTCAGCACTTGTCCCTATGTAATCACAGGCCCAGGGAGTTCATTTACTTTCCATTTTCTGTTTTGTTTTAGTGCATCACTTCTTCTCACCCTTTTTCTTGGGCTTCATTCCCCTCTAAGGCTGTCTGTGTTGTAGGATTTGATTTCCTGCTTCTGCTTGTCCATGCAAACAGGCCATAAGCCCTTTTTAAAGATTTGATTGTTGATCACCATGAAGAAAGAAGGGATGGTAAAGCGTTGGTAGTACAGGGAAGTTAGAGCTACTCAGAGTCCTTAGTCTTGAGCTCTGGGGTCCAGAAGCTTCTTGTGCAAGGTGCTTGGCGCTTGTGAGTTCATGAGAATAGGTTGTGCTAGCTACAATGCAAGATCTGTAGGCAGTTTGTCAAGGCATGGGTGACTTGCTTACAGTGATGTTTTGGAGGAATTTGGTCAGGGGACTTTAAGAAGACTCCATTGGGAAACCTCGGTGTTTGTTTTGGTGATACCGGGGATCCAACCCAGGACCTTGCATATGCTAGGTAAACCCTCTGCCATTGAGCTGCATTACCAGTCCCAATGGAAAGTAAACTTCCCAAGAAGTTTGTCATATTTTTTTCCTTTTCTTTCATTTTTTCTTCCCTACTCCCTTTTTCCTTTTGTTTTTCCATCGTACTGGTAATTGGATCCAAGCATGTGTCCCCAGTCTTTTAGTTTTTAAGAAAGGGCCTTACTAAGTCATTGAACTTGTGATCCTCCTGTCTCTGTCTCTCTGAATGTTGGCATTATAGGTGTAGGTTACAGGTAGGTCCCTACACGCAGCTAAGGGAATAGTTTCTTGAACTAGGATGGTGGGGCTGAAGTGAAGAAAATAGGAGTATGAGAGGTATTACAGGATAAAAGTGGAGAGGATCCCAACTCTTTCAAGGGGATTTAACTTGAGTGATTGGAGAAATGGTTGTGTTTCTGAAAATAAGGGCTAGGAGGACTGATGGCTTGGGGCAGAAGCTAGCATGATGATTAGGGGGAAATATCTAGCCGGGAGCTGAGATTTTGGGGGCTGAGAGGCCGTGTTCTTCACTGCAGTGGCAGAGTATTATCTTATTCTGCCATAAGCTAGGCTCAGGGCTCACTGTATCACAGTAAACTCAAGGCACTGGTGACTTTTTCAGCCCTGGCATTATGGGTAATTTGCACATAAGGTCATCAGTGAGATTGGTGTTCTTGCTGGGTTCCAAAGCAATCAGGTAGTTGAACACAGATTGAATAAGAAATAATTTAGACACTTTATTCCTTTCTCTCGGTGCTAATTTTAATTTCTGTGCATTTGCAAATGCAGCCCATAGGTTTGTGTTTTTTGGTTTTTTTTTTTTAAGCAAACTACTAGGACCTTCATGAATTTTATAGATTTGGGTACTGAAATTTTTTTAAGAAGACAATTTTTTTGTTTGTTTGTTTTTTGAGGTATGGTTTCACTATGCAGTTCCGGTTGGCCTTGAGCTCACTTTGTAGCCCAGTTTTGAATTCTCAATGATTCTCCTGCTTCAGCCTCCTGAGTGCTGGGATTACAGGCGTGTGCCACCACACCTGGCTATAAATACATTATAAAGGCCAGTCAGGAACACAAAGCAAGATCCTGTCTCAGAAATAGACAAAGAGGTAGGTTCTGTAGAAACAATATAATTGGTCTTCAAGTATTTATTCAAATCTGTCATACTGTTTTCAACTAAGTAATACTCATGTCATGACTTCTGTCTTCTAGTAGCTGTGACCAGGGAACATGGTCACCTTCAGTCTTTGGCATATCAGTACATGGATTTTGTTAAGTTTTCACTTGTTGAAAAGGGAACAGTGTCTGGGGCTCTTTGGAGTTTACCCTGTGTTCATACAGAAGATCAGGACAAGATGAGAAATGGACACTAGAAAGGTCTAAGGCAGGGAGTATGTGTGTTTGTTAGAAAGTTTTCATCGTAATATGCTTGAGGACCCTATATCTTAACTCCTTTCATGAAAGTGCTGCTAACAAATCCTACTTTTAAGGGGCTGAAGGTCTGCGGGAAGAAACTTGAAGGATTCCCATGCTGTTATTGGACTGTTGTTGTGTATCGCTGTCTCACTTGTTGGTTCTCAGATAACTGGTATAATGCAGGAATAGTGTAGACAGTGGCAGTGAATGGGTAGGCCAAATGCCTGCTGAAACTGAGAAAAATTAAAGGCACTTTTTCTGTGGGAAGCAGAAAGTCAGGCTGATGTTTGATTCCACACAGCTTTCTATTCTCTGTTCTTTTGACTCTGTTAGAGTAACATTTACTGGAGGAAAGTATTTCAGGATCACACCCACCACACTGGAAGACTATTAATCATGCATGCATGCACACGCACACCCATGCGCACGGTATTCTTGATGGGGCTATAGGCCAGAGAAGATGTAGTTTTGAAGAATTAGGGGCACTTGCCAGCAGCTGGTCTTTATTCTTTGCTACAGAGCTGACTAGACAGCTGAAAGCATCTTGAG